CACTCAACTAGTGCGTCTCTATCGACACACTCTGGAAGCATCGCTCCCCTCACCAGTGAGGGTTATTATGAGTACGGTGCTTTCTTTCAAGCGTTAATTGGATGTTGGATGCCTCGCTCCATGGGCTGTTCTCGTGGTAGTTTGAGCAGTGCTCCCCTTTTTTCAAAGTGTTACCTAGAATGAGCAACGTTATCCTCTGAATTCGGAGTTCTCCACTCACATGAGAAGTTCTCGGTTTTTCCAGAGCACCTGAAACCAGCAGCATCAGGTGGATTAGGCCCTTGCTCTGCTTCCCTGATGCGCTGAGTGTTTGGCTAGCTTGCAGTATGCTTACCCTTGGTTACACGTTATTGATCTCGTTCCCTTTCTCTGAGTTGGTTTAGACCCCGGTACCTTGGGCTCCACTCAACTAGTGTGTCTCTGTCGACACACTCTGGAAGCATCGCTCCCCTCACCAGTGAGGGTTATTATGAGTACGGTGCTTTCTTTCAAGCGTTAATTGGATTTATGCTTTGCCCACTTTTCTAAAATCCACATAGCTGGTAAGTGTGCACGTTATGCTTTGCCCACTTTTCTATAATTCACATAAGTGATAAGTGTGCATGTTATGCTTTGCCCACTTTTCTAAAATTATGTATGGTAATAGCTACGCGCAAAGACTTCGTGCTCTTTTTGAGTGGTTTAAAACCCCGGTTCCGCCTTGGGCACCACTCCTCCTATGTATCCTCTGGATACCTACTTAACAGGGTGTTGCTACTAAGGGTCTGTTGAGACAGTTCCTTCAGCACATACAAAGAGAAACGTGCGGTAGCCCCTGTGTGACAGGCCAAGACTAGTATGATTCTAGGCTCTTGGTCGTATTCCCTTAAAGGAATCTATTTCTGATTCCAAGCCTTGAGCTCTACCCCGGGCCCAGGAGTCTGGCCCTAACAGGTAAGTATTTTGGGGTATGTAGCCTAGGCCTTTGGCCATAGGGAATAACGTCACTGTTTTCATGAAGCTGAAGTAAGCACATGAGTCGTGATACTCTCTCGCACCACAGCATAAGGGATGAGGAAGAGAAGAATTGTTGAATAAAGTCGTTATTTTTGTTTTCTTTGTGCACAAAAAGTATTCTCGTAGCTTTGTAAAATTACAGTTGAACCCCTGATGTCACATGGACTATTTTACTGATGTCCTTGCTACGTTTCTGGACCTTGATCTTGGTAATAACCTTGCTGTCTATGGGAGGGTCAGAGAGCTCTCGGATTTTATCAAAAGTATCTTAATTTGTGTTCCGAAGATGAACAAAGATTTTTGGGTGAACTATCCCTTTAAATGATAATTTAGAATATGTCACAACAGTGAAATCATTACTAACTACATAATACTGCTGGCAAGTTTATGCACGTAAAGGCTACTATAGCAGGGCATTAACTGCAGTTGGGTTGTGCTGCGTTGAGTAGGTCCTGGCCTGTTTTTGAGTCCCAGCCCATCTCTGATCATCAGCATAAAGTATGATTTAAAGCATATTCCTGTCAAGAAACGCCCACTTAGAGAGGAAAAACACTGTTCGGCCAACATGTAAAGACAGCAGCTACCCAACTTGATGCTGAATTTAAAGACTGTGGGCATGCCATCAATTTCCCAAAGAAGAGCTGACCAACCTCAAACACAACCTAAAGCAAAGTTCACAAGTGCTCACTTGTAAGTTGCTGGTCTTAGGAAGCTTACATGTGCTCTTACTAAGCATGGCAACAATTCATGTAAACCTATTACGAGCACAGTGGAGATGAATGACCCTGGCCTGGAGAAATACTAACAACACAGCTAACAAGCTCCCTGTTAGCTCAGAACAAATGTTCTACTAACGCTATCAATTCCTCCGTCATTCGGTCTCTTCTTGTGTAATTAGCATTGACCAGTGGCCTGGTTTGCTGTTCTGGTTCTACTGTCACACTTCATTGCATCATGGGACAATAGCTGTGTAGGCATGACCTGTTTTAGTGTTGTCACAACACACCATCAAACTCTCAGCCAGTGTGTTAATATGTGTGGATGCCACAGGACAAGTATATCAATTATCCTAAATACTACACCTTTAAAAAGCAACGGAAGCTAAATACCACTCCAGATACAGAATTAGTAATACAGATTTGTGTACTTAAAGAAACAGTACATCCAAAAATAAAAATGTGGTCATTAGTTACTCATCGTTCCAACCTTCTTTGACTTTCTTTCTTCTGTGAAATTCAAAGAGAGAATTTGCATTGCATTGCAGGTCTTTCAGTTAATTAGAATGAATTTTTAATTATTCATTTCAAAGCATTATAAATATATCTTAAAATTAACCCATATAACTTGTACACAAAATACAAACCCAATTCCAAAAAAGTTGGGACACTACAAATTGTGAGTAAAAAAGGAATGGAATAATTTACAAATCTCATAAACTTATATTTTATTCACAATAGAATATAGATAACATATCAAATGTTGAAAGTGAGACATTTTGAAATGTCATGCCAAATATTGGCTCATTTTGGATTTCATGAGAGCTACACATTCCAAAAAAGTTGGGACAGATAGCAATAAGAGGCTGGAAAAGTTAAATGTACATATAACGAACAGCTGGAGGACCAATTTGCAACTTATTAGGTCAATTGGCAACATGATTGGGTATAAAAAGATCCTCAGTGATATAGTAGTTTCTTTTTTCTTAAGAGACTAAAAGAAGATGCTGTGCCGACTATATTGGATCTGACAGTAACGTCGCACCACAAGTGTGTTTTCATTGCGTGGTCACTATTGCTTCGTCCATCTATGAGGAATGTACGCTGTCAAACATACACAACTATTAGCCAATCACAGCAGTGGGCGTTTACCTCAGAGTCTACAATCCGCCATGCCTATTCAAACAGAGCGTTCCGATGATGGGGCTTAAAAACAAGACAAAAAATGGCTTATTACTTCTAAATTATGATGTTGAAAAATCTTGACAGCATTATAAGTGTACCTCAGAGAACAGTACAAAAAACTAAATTAAAAAAAACACAGGCAGTTCATGACCCCTTTAAAAAATTTTGGCAAAAAATATAAATTATGTTTATAGCCTTTTCTAATTTCTTTCTGGAAACCAAACCAAACAAAACATGATGTCTACTTTGGGGAGGGAGGAAAGGGAAATACGAGACAGAAAACATGGGATAAAAATAACAGTAAAGAGAATAGCTAATTTAGAGTCTGGTGTTAAGCTGGGAGATTGAGAGTAAATAATGCAGGAAAAGGAATCCTCAGCTCTGATGTGCATTCACTAGGAACTGTTACGTAACACTTATTACGTATACTTTTTTTTATCTCTTGTCTCAGACTTGTGGTTCTTATTCTATAACCTCACTGTAGTACACAGACTGTAGCTTGTAAACTCAAAATACCTAATTATTTTCCTCATACATATGTCTAATATTAAGCAAGTGTTACTTGATACTGAGAAAAGTACATTATTCAACAAAACTACATTAGTTATTAATTATATATTTGTTGGATAGTGTGTACATTTTGCATTTTGAATGCCATCTTACATATCTTACACCGGCATGAAAAGTTCACGCCATTCATGAGAGAAGTGATGTCCTATTTGTGAATGAATCATGCAGTCGGATCTCTTTAGTGAATCAGTTGATCCAGTTCACAAAACAGATACATTTTCTGAATCAGATTCAGTTTTCAGCAGTTCACTGATTATCAGTGATAATACGTTGAATTTGGTTTGTTCCAAAGACTTCAGAAGGCTTTCTATGTAGAGTCGTGTGGATGACTTTTATCATATTTTATGCTGCTTTTTTACATCTTTTTATAAAGTTTAAAAAGCTTTGGTTTCTATTTCTTCAGCAGAATAAAGTCGGATCAACATGACAAGCTTCATTTTTGGCTGAACTATTCCTTTAACGAAGACATTATTTAGTTCCGTTAGGAAGCAGTTTTTCTCATGGAAACTACAGCAAGCACATTTTGTCCCTAATGTAGGTGTTTTAAGCTTTACTATCATAGTGCTGACATTCCGTTGCATAAAAAGATAGCAAATGCTCACTCATAACAACACCCATACACAAGTATCTAAAAGATTATTCGCTCACACACATCAACACATGTGATCAGGCTAAGCAGTCTAAAATGGGTAAAAATTTCAATTAGTTTGCACCAATTGTGTTTGTTTGTGTGAACAAGCCTTAAACAATGTGGTAAAATGATCACATGAGTGTGTCTCTTTAATTAAACCAACTACATAAACACAATTCCACTGTCAAGCTACAGAGAAAAAAAATTGTAGCCATTCACAAAACTGAAGACTATAACATCTAACATAGTTTACCTACATGAGAACGCACTGAGACCTTCGAGAACAAACAAATGTGTTGAATCATTACTGAGCCCTGGATTTAAATTGAAACACAATATTTATAATAAAGAAAATTCTTCTTCAAAACTCATATATCGGCTATTTTACAGTGGCTTTAAGTATGGCTCATCCAATAAGAATGCAGAGTTAGAACTAATGTAAGAAATGTGTATGTAATGAATGTTTATATAAAATGTTTGACCTCTGAAACAGAATTTCAGGGACATTTTTATGAAGGTATTTTTCGTCCATGAAAATCTCATCAATTTAGGACAAAAGCTCTAGTGAATTAATTAAATGAAATTCTGAACAAATCTTTCGGTTAAAAAAAGACAGCCCTAGAATAAAATGTCATGAAATATATCAAGCATTATAAAACCAACCTTAAGGAATTCAGTATGGTGGCATTTTTTCCCCACAAACTGTTAAATATCAAGTGCATTTTTTTGTCATTTCCATGTTTTTTGTACTTTTAATTCATTTTTCACCCTGGCCAGAAGTATTTTTTAGAATAATGGTCATTATAGTAAAGGCTTCATAAATCATACAAATTCAAATAAACTGGAAGTATGCTATAGTGCTACTATTAAACTTCTCAGCACATTGTCATTTGGGTCAGGTATTGAAAAGGATTGTATCATACTGCTGTAAATTTTTGACATGGTATACAACGCATGCTAGACCCACTATTACTACTGCATAACCTGTAGGTATGAATGAAACACTGTACATATACATAAAGGGCATCCCAACTTTTGTTCAGCTTTATATTCCATATAGCATACACAGAATACAAGCACAGACATCCCTCCAGTACTTACGTAGGAAGTGCTTCTCCAGTAAGGCAATTTCCAAATGGCCCTTGACCTCATTGAGACGTTCCGATTCACTCCTCAGGTCTTGCATGACAGACAAAGTCCCCAAGCCAGCCTAGAAAAAAACACACAGGGTAATTGACGGATAAGAACCTAAAACAAACCACACACAAACTATAGTCTCTCCAAGCTGTGACTTACAGAATACCAGTCCTCTCTATGGTGTCTTCCTCCTGTTTTAGTTAAATATGCCTCAAACTGGAGGCCGGTCTCAATGACAAACGTAGACTGTAATATTCGGACTCACTGATAGCACGGCATGAACCTGCTCTGACTCCATCCCGCCCCGCACACACACACACACACACACACACACAGGCTGAAAGAACGCAAGATCTGCAGAAAGACGAGCCGCAGTGAGAGAGAGACAGAGAAAGTAGGTGAGTGAGAGATTAGGAGAGAGGGCGGCACTGCAGAGAGAGACAGAAAAGCAGAGCTATCTCTTTAAGAAGCCAATGCGACTGACAGTGCAGACATCAACTCTTTTCTTACACACACACACACACACACACACACGTTTGGTGTCATAGCATTAAAGCTCTGACGGTAAAATGCTTGCTTCACACAATTTGCAGCAGAATTACACCCAAGCTGAGGAGACACATATATAAACACATAAGCAACAGTAGGGGAAATAGAAAATGTGATAGCAAATTAGGGATGCACGTGGAAGAGAAAATAAGGCAATGAGAAAGACCCTGAAGAGCACAAAATAGTGAAAAAAGAAGCATTTAAGCAACAAAGTAGCTTGATCATGGGCGCTTAGTTCTGGGCTGCGTTTCCCAAAAGCATCGTATAAGTTGATCGTAGCTCAATTGGTTTCAATGGGTCTACAATGTACTTAAGCAGCCCTGGGCTACAGGTTTTTACGAGCCAATCACGTGCGCCATAAATGTCATGTGACCAATCACAGTGGAGCCACAGGAACTCTTAAAACATCATACATAATAGCATAATAATGCTAATTAAACTACGGGGCTGTTGAATGCTTGAATCTGATTGGTTGACGAACATTCTAAGGTGTGCAATTATTTTCAGGGAAACACACGGCTTAAGTAGTTCCAGGCAGGGCTCAACCGCATTACACGTCCATAACACTTCACCAAATGATTTCAGCTATTTCAAAGGTCCTTACAGCTTCCAACGGCAAAAGAACCAAAACCCACAAGTTGACTCCAGTCAGTTCACCTGAGGTGTAACGGCTGCTTCATCATCTCAAGTGTGCATATTTCCTAATAATTCAATGGACTGTAATCAATTATTCCTTACTTAATGCATCAACTAATGTTGACTAATGGGATACTTATTGAAAAGTGTTATTCATGAATCAGTATGAGTAATCAGAATACCGCCAAATTCCGAATCATATATCGATATACATGTAATCGTAGTCAACAGCTATGTTTCCATCACCCTACTTTAATGCGCATTTTGAAGTATCGCATGAGAAATGAGTGATGGAAAAGCCAAATTTCAAATAAAAATCCCTTAATTCGACAAAAAGTTTTTACGCTCGCTTGAGCTGGTTTTTGACTTGTGCGAAAAAGGATTAATGCAAATAATGGGAGATGGAAATGCATTTTGCGAATAAATTCCTCCAAGCGCATCAAAAAAGTCATGTGACTTTGTGCTATGGGACAGCAAAACCATGACTAACCAGTGGACCGATACTATTCCACAGCATCTGAAATGTTGTTATGGCCATTCGGAAATGCCCGAGCAAAGTCTGTCATCAAAGTATTTCTGTATAATTGCCTACCAGAAATGTCTTACACGACTGCGTTCCCAAACAGCAGCATCCACCTCCGAGAGCAATGACCGCATTCATTGTGTTTCGTCTGCTTGCTCTGAGGCGCAGGTAATTTATTATATATGAAAATTATTATATTCAGTATATTCTCCTACTTTTATTAGTGATTTATAGTGCCAGATTATCAGGAAGTGACGATTTTGTTCTCTTTGACACGTTGGATGGAAATGGTACTTGTTCGCAAATGTTTTATGCGATATTCCAATTTTGCGCACAAGTTAAATTCGCAACTTTGGATGGAAACCCGGCTATTGTGATGATAGTCTCTGCCTCAAATGTCACGCCCACAGACTGCTGGCTGAACATCTGATGCATATCGTACACAAAATTGGAAACACTTCAGGGGTTTAAAAGACATCATTGGATTATAATAATAATAATTCCTTATATTTATATAGCGCTTTTCTGGGCACTCAAAGTGCTTTACACAGAAGGGGAGAATCTCCTCAACCACCACCAGTGTGCAGCATCCACCTGGATGATGTGACGGCAGCCATAGTGCGCCAGAACGCCCACCACACACTAGCTTATTGGTGGATAGGAGACAGAGTGATGAAGCCAATCAGTAGATATGGGCATGGTTAGGAGGCCATGATGGCCAGAGGCCAATGGGTGAATTTGGCCGGGATGCTGGGGTTACACCCCTACTCTTTTTCGAAGGACATCTTGGGATTTTTAATGACCACAGAGGGTCAGGACCTTGGTTTAACGTCTCATCCGAAGGATGGTGCTTTTTGACAGTATAGTGTCCCCATCACTATACTGTGGCGTTAGGACCCACACAGACCACAGGGTGAGCACCCCCTGCTGGCTTCACTAACACCCCTTCCAACAGCAACCTATTTTTCCCTGGAGGTCTCCCATCCAGGTACTGACCAGGCTCAACCCTGCTTAGCTTCAGTGGGCAATCAGTCTTGGGCTGCAGGGTGATATGGCTGCTGGCAATATTATAGATTGTAGATTGGTTGAATTATACAGGATTTCCATGTCGCTTTCTTTAACGCAGAGGTCCCCAACGACCGGGTCACGACCCACTACCAGGTCCGTGGAAGAATTGCTACCGGGTCGCAAGAATGTTCTGGGGAAAATGTGTATAGATAGGCTTATATGACACTATATTATTTATTGCGCGGTAATGATTGTTCTAATTATTCTGTATTTTCGTTGTATGCGATTGATATGGAGTAGCAATTTGACGATTTCATGTTAAATTAGTAAATGAAAGATTGTTCTTAGGGGTTAAATGGAGTGCAGTTGATCCGTGATTCATACAGAACAGACCCCACTGTTCGGCATGCATCTGATTTGCAGGTTAATTTGCTAAACCACAAGAAGAAACTAAATGAAACGAAAGATAACTTCATTACTCGCATGCTGTTTTTGCACACACTCGGCGTGCACAAGCATAGTCGTGTTTTAGACAGTGCGTGAATGATTCCTCTTTCACGTCTCCCTGCATTTAAGATACATACAGTGCAGTTTGCACTGCGCTCTTCCGTTACTTGATCTTTTAATTTTGGTGCGCCAATCTGTTACTTAGTATAGGAAATTATGATCTGCACTCACGAGTTACAGTTATCGGACCGAAACGTTAGAGATTATAGATACATACACTTAAAATTATAAATAAACGTTATAGATACATACACATAAAATTATATAAAAAACCCTTCACGGCATTGTCATTCTCTGTGCTTCAATTTTTTTCTGTGTTTCTTGCTTATTCAAAAATCATCCGATCTGTGACTCAAAAACCACAATATGATCCACTGAACATACATATATATATATATATATATATAACCCCCAACCCGTGATGCCGTGACCCCCTCATGAAAGAATGACAGACATTGTGTTTACACCTGTGACGATGACAATTTATAAGGATCAACTAAATGCTGGATTTTCAAAAGTATGTGAAATATTTAAAGTTTGTGGCATAGAAAGAGTTATACACACCAGTCTGTTATTGTGGGGACATTTCCATGCCTCTAAACATAACGTGGCACAAAACGAAACGTGATTGGTTGCTTTACCTGTTAGTCATATGGCCACTTGGGCAGGCCTTAGCCATTCAGATATGCCAAGATTCCCAGACCTTCTGCTGTCAGTCTGAAGGTCTGGCTACATGAGACTAATGTGAGTATGCCAACAAAGTGGCATACTCCAGTTTTACATACAATTTAAAAAGAACGGTAAGTTCTTGATTTCCATCCCTACTAGCTACTGTAATCTGCATCTTGCACTTCTGCGACACAAAACAAAGTGTCCTGAAACAGAATATGTCAGAAGGTTTATCAGTAGAGCATGAAAGAGGCAGTTTGCAGCAGAGAGACTGTAAGACAACTGGCTCTTATAAACGAGATAATCAGAGTCAATCAAACCCCTGCTTGTGTGAAAAACTGATCTCATTACCTCCAGCCTTCAGGGACTCATCAGTGCATGAATCTAAAAGTTAAAAGTGCTGCAATGACACAGTCATTACATGGATTTACAAGTGCATGGATATACACTATCGGACAAGAGTTATGTTGGCTCCATGTGTGTCTGTGTTTGTATGTGTGCGCCAGAGCTATTTGGATCAGCATGTGAGCGATGACTCACTCCTCACTGCTGTCTAAACGTCATCTCTGTTAGCAGGCTGTTGCATTCAACAATAAAGCTGCCCGCGATGCAGGAAATTACCAATGCAAACACATGCAAACAGAGTGGCAAGACTGGTCAGCTTTTTAGTGTGTGCAGAAAGTTAGGTTACACACTTCCTAAAGCCATCGCAGAAGTATACTGATTTTTAGCTCTTCAGAATGTTTTATTTGCCAAAACACAATTATGTAGGAAGGAGCTCAAGGGCTGTGGAAACCATTTTCACATCACCCCACTCATTTTTAAAATCTGAGCCTTATGGACAAGACAAAATGTTTTAGGTGCCATACTGTAGGGGCACTTGCAACACAGCAGCAGAAAAATTAGAAAACTAGACTTGACGCTATAGGTGTCTTTACACTGTCATCTTAAGGCTGCTATGTGCTTCCTCAAAATTCAATGTAAAGGTACAATGCTGCATAAACCCATCCATCTCAGCCCCTATTATCAAAGTATACAGTTGTAACTGCTGTGTAAATGCATTTATGCCACCTCTGAGCAGCATTAAACAGTCTGAGGAAAGACACCTAAATGCCACACCAGATGTGCTTCTGTGCCACCTTTGTAGAGTAAACCTGACATATATTTAGATGGGGGGGGGG